AAAGAGAAACCAAACAAAAGAAGAACAAATATCCTTTCATCCCTTCCCTTTAAAAAAAAAAGGTATCAAAAAATGTCGAGCTCAAGTGACTCATCTGTGTACAGCGACTCCGAACTCGAGGAGTGCTCGGAGAAACCATACATTGCTCTTGTCCATGGCACCTTCAAGCTGCGTCAGACCGCGGCGGGCTTCAGGTGCCCTTTCTGCTTGGGCAAGAAGATCAGGTACTTCACGTATGTGTCTCTTCTCCAACATGCACACGGTATTGCTTAAGGCTCCGATAAGCGGCCAGTGAAGGTGAGGGCAGCACACTTGGCCCTGGAGAAGTTTTTGCAGGTCAACGAAAGCACCTTCAACCCCCCTTCCCCCTTAGTGTATGGGTTGGTGTTGTTGGATGCCGTCCTTGCTGCTGTTGTTCTTGGAGCCTTTTTTTAAAAAAAAATTATTTGTTTTTTCAGTTTTTTTATTAAGTAATGTAATGGTCCCTTATTAAATGGAATAAAAATTTGCATTTTTAACGTATTGCTACTACTGTTCCTATTTTAACACATTCAATCTTCAATACTTCTCAACCATGTTATCTTTACCAAAACACCACATATGGAGAAGAAATATGGTGGAATACTCAAGGTTTTTTTGTGCACTTCACGATTTAAAGCACACCAACTCACTACTCAAAGGGCCTACAATTTCTACCATTATATTAGACAGTGGTACAAAAAATCATATATTTTACACAATTAATACTTAAGTGGTACAATATAGAATCAAGTGGTACCCTAAATGTGTTTCCCTCTTAATGGTACCCTAAAAAAATATCGGTGTACCATATCGTACAGAATGGTACGATACTAACCGTTAAATGTACCACTTGTTAAGTGGTTATGGTTAGGCTCATTGAGATTAGGGTGAATACAACATGTTTAGGGTATTATTTAGAGACCTTATTTCCCCTAAACATGTTTATAGGAGTAGGGTATAACATCGAAGCACTAAAATTGGATTCCGATAAGCGACAAGCATAGGGTGCGTACTAGCTGAATAACTACCTACACAAGGGTTGATGGAAGTGTATGTTGTCTTACAAAGTAACTCAATACCAGGATAAGATAGTGATTTCGATTCGTATATGTTTCGATTTAAGGTAGACGTAACTCCATCCTCTACCAAACCACCAAGGACTCGTAACGCCATGATATATACTACATAAACCTCTAAACCATGGAATACTCAAGGTTTTTTTTGTGAACTTCACAATTTTAACCACACTAACTCACTACTCAAAGGGCCTGCAATTTCTACCATTTTATTAGACAGTGGTACAAAAAATCATATATTTTACACCATTAATACTGAAGTGGTACAATATAGAATCAAGTGGTACCCTAAACGTGTTTCCCTCTTAATGGTACCCTAACAAAATATCGGTGTACCGTATCGTACAGAATGGTACGATACTGACCGTTAAATATATCACTTGTTAAGTGGTTATGGTTAGGCTCATTGAGATTAAGGTGAATACAACATGTTTAGGGTATTATTTAGAGACCTTATTGCCCCTAAACATGTTTATAGGAGTAGGGTATAACATCGAAGCGCACTAAAATTGGATTCCGATAAGCAACAAGCATAGGGTGCGTACTAACTGAATAACTACCTACACAAGGGTTGATGGAAGTGTATGTTTTCTTACAAAGTTACACAATACAAGGATAAGATAGTGATTTCGATTCGTATATGTTTCGATTTAAGGTAGACGTAACTCCATCCTCTACCAAACCACCAAGGACTCGTAACGCCATAATATATACTACATAAACCTCTAAACCATTGAATACTCATGGTTTTTTTTGTGCACTTCACAATTTTAACCACACTAACTCACTACTCAAAGGGCCTGCAATTTCTACCATTTTATTAGACAGTGGTACAAAAAATCATATATTTTACACCATTAATACTGAAGTGGTACAATATAGAATCAAGTGGTACCCTAAACGTGTACCACTGGTTAATATAGAATTAGTGGGGTGAGAATGTGAGCTAAGTTTAAAAAAATATAGGAAGGGAACTAGTTTTGTGGGAGGGAAAAGTTAAATTTGAATATTTGATCCTATTTACCTTGTTACCGTGGTACTCCTACTACTGTAGGTGACGGCGTGACGCAATAGGTGCAGCACTAGGCCAGAGAACTGTCTTGTCAAAAGAAACACTAAATCGAATACAATGGTACATATATGTACCATTGACTAACTAACTGGTTTTATTTGTACCATTATATGGTCTTCATAGGTATCATTGTGACAAAGCTGAACTACCCAAGTGTGTACTCCCTCTTAATGTGAAGATCGAATTTCATTTGGTGGAACACACATACAAGTGCATTGAAGGACTCTCAGTGGTACAAATCATATGGTAACATGTACCACTATTAACAGGTTAATAACCATTTGCATTACAACGGTACCTTTACTAGTGTTAATGGCATCTATTGTGTAAAAACATATAAACTCGAATAGTAAAGGGATGATATATTGTACTAAGAGTTGATATATTAAGTCTATAATTGGATCAATACTACAAATAGTCTTTTTACTTTGTAAAGCATGTATTCCAAATGGTTGCCATTACAATTATGAAGATCCCTATAGACAATATATGAATTATGCGCGGTACCCGTATGATATACGACCAACGAATAATCACTACATGAGTAAAAGAACCGCTTTTATATATGATATAAGACATTTAAAATCTTATATCACTACATGAATGCTTTCCATACATTTTAAATGTCTTTCCTTTCTTTGTCTACTATAGAATCCTAATTCACGTTACGTACCGCTATGCCTGCAGCGGAAAAATCCTTTATTTGTTGTGGTAAATTATATAACTTAATTATACCACCTTGTTATGAACGATACATCTTGTTGTCGATTCTTTTTTTTTTTTTTTTTGAAAGAAGTTGTCGATTCTTATATCACTACATGACTGCTTTCCACATTTTAAATGCCTTTCATTTCTTGTCCTTCGAAATTTTAAGTGTCTTTCTTTTTTTGTCCAACTATGGAGTCCTACTTCAATCATGTTATTTTTGTTAGTCGCCATTGAATATATTGATATCATTAAACATAGAGTAGTACCCTTGGAACTACTAAGTGGTACTTTTATGTGTGCTCATTATAAGCAAAATAGATGCCAGTGGTACTTTTATGTGTACCAATTATATTCAAAATAGATGCCAGGGATACATTTTATATGCTACTAGTTGTGTTGTTAAATTGTACCAATTGATAAATTGTACCGTTGTTACAGAGCAGCGCAAATAATATAGTTATACATAGTAAAAAGTTTGAAAAGAATAGATTAATTGTGAATGGATCCAGATGTGCCAGGAGTGAGGCCTAGGAGAGAAGCAAACACTCCACCAGAGTGTCCTCCCCTAACCGTAGTAAAGTATCCTAACGACCCATCAAAATCCCTCATTTGTATTCCCCCGACAGATCGAATATACTCACTGGTTCCTAATGATATGCTGGTTGGGGTCTGACCAGCTTTCTTCCGAGCATCATTTTTCACCTTATTAGCAGCCCTTTCTTTTCCTTTTTTCTCTGTGCAGGACGGGTATCTAACACTTGTAGTGCGATGTGCTTTCTTCTTGGGTAAGGGTGGATCCTTAATCCTACCTGGGGCAGATCCTTCGTAGCTTCCTTGGAATCCACTAACTAGAGTAGTGTTGTTATTATGAATTCCTGATGCCACTGTCATTGGTGTGTTTGTCCCCTCAGGCCCCTTGTTCTGTGCCACAGAAGACGACGTTCGGGCAACTCCATATACACCTTCATCCTCACCAGGACCATTCTCATTCCCTCCTGTAAGCTGCCTTTTTGCAACCATTGCTAGAACTTCATCCACTCTCAGATCCATAAGCTGCAACATCTCTTTGACAGCCTGCACTGCCTCCTTACAAATGGAAGCCTTAGAGAAAATAGGTTCGTACGTCCCCATAAGATTGTGATAATTCCTCACTTCATCACTAGTCAATGGATCATGGTAAGCAACTTTTACTCGTGTGTGTTTCCGTTGTACGTCCTTCCTCCAACGATGGAGTACATACTTCTCAGGAACAACAGTTACTCCATTAAGGTCATACACAAGAATCATATGTCGACAAATGATCCCATGACACTTAAAGTGTTTACAGTCACATGCAACTTCATACATACTACTATCATATACAACCCGGTAGCATCTACGAATCTTTGTCACTTCATCCTTCTTCGCATTTTTAGGCTTGATTCAAACACGGTCTTCGATAATAAACTCAATTAGATTAGTACCAATTTCATACTGATCTAGGGGACGAACATACAACATCTTCTTGCACTGTCCCTGCACTTCTTTGAATTTTGCATCCGTATAGCATTTTTGAAACAACACCTCCGCTGGGAAGTCAGTCACTAAATGCCTCACATACCGTTGTGTGTTCGAGTCTGCCATTCTTTCGGCCTCGGCCCTAACTGTCATAGCATCGCAATACCGAATAACAAACTGAGACAACGTTGTCTGCTTGTCAACATACCCTTTAAAAAAATGATTGAAACTCTCTGAACGTTGAGTCGTTTTCATCCCAGCCCAGAATAAATGTTTCAAATACGTGGGAATCCACATTACTCGTTCCTCATAGAGCCCCATTCAATATAACTGCAATTATTAGTTTCATTCAATATACACTAGTTTACGACAAATACTAAGTGACACAAACAAAGACAGCTACAAAAGCTTATGCTACCTGTACGTACTAATTGCAGTGGTACATTAAAATTGTTAGTGGAAAAACAAAAATAACCATTGGAACAATGCTACTACTTAGTGGTACATAACGCACAGACCAATATATTTACTCAAATATTCAGATCATCAACACCCCAAAAACACATACAAAATCATGAGTAACTTTACTAAGAAACGATAAAGTATAAACCATTGAGTGGAAGAAACTAACCCTCTAGCCAAGCATTGTCTTGTAGCTCGTAATGCTGAATTGCATCACACCATCGAGCTTCAAATTCATCAGCATCTAAACTACCGTATATGAGGCTATCAAAGTCACCCTTTAAAACTTCGTAATCATCATCACGCTTCACATACTTACCAAATTTCTGCAGGATGTGCCATATGCACCACCTATGGGTCGTTTCAGCCATTGTACAATGCACAGCTTTCCTAATTGCCGGATCTTGATCCGTCAGAATAGATGTAGGGGCTTTACCGCCCATACAATGCAGCCATGTCCTCATCACCCATTCATACGTTTCTGCTGTCTCTCGAGAGATCAATGCACAACCAAACAATATACTTTGTCCGTGGTGATTCACACCAAGAAATACAGCAAAGGGCAAATGGAATTTGTTAGTCAAGTACGTACTATCAAAACAGACAACATCGCCAAACTCCTCATAGGCAGCTCTGCTCCTCGCATCCACCCATACAACATCTTGTAAGGAACCATCCTTCCCAAACCTACACGGATGGAAAAAATTTTGATTATCTGCACTCATTTTGTTGAAGTACTCAATCATCCCATTTGCATCACCCTCGGTAAGCTCCAGCCTATTTTTCTCCTCCTCAGCCACCGCATTCGTCAAGTCTTTTTGAGTAAAAGTCAACTGATCTACTCCATTCACCTGCCTACCAAAACAACCGTACATCTGGGAAACCTTCACCCTTGACTTCTTTGCAGAAACCACCTGTTTCACCAAGTGCTTATGTTTGGTAACCAAATCGTGCTTCCTGTACATGGAAACATCCTTAGACTTTCCCGGTGTAACTGGATGACCAGTGTGCTCCAACTTCACCCTACGAACAACCCAATTCCCTTCTGCATTAACACTTGAATACAACTCAACCTCACATCCACACTTTTTTGTTTTCCTTTGTACAACTGTCTCCTCGTCCTGAATCAAACCTTCCTTCAGTGGATCAACTTTACGCTTCCTAGAAGGTCTTCCGTAGCAGTCACAGGTCCACTTAGCATTCCTCCGCTGCTTACAACACTTTCCAGTACCCAATTCCTTCTTCACCTTCACCCATCCAGAAGCAGCCCTCACTATTCCAAACCCCTTTTGCCTAGCACAGCTCCAGAAGTAAGTATCTAACTCATCCCAACTACCAAATACCATGCCCAAAATTGGGGGTGGTATTTCCTCTTCAACACTGAACACAGTTTGCACCATTTGCCTGCCCTTCTTTGGTGTTGTGAACCCTTCACCATCAACTACGTTTTCACCATGAACTGACTCATAATCTGACCCCAGATTTTCTCCACCATGAACTGACTCATAATCTGACCCCTGATTTTCTCCATTATATCCTTCTCCCATTTCATTCTCCTCCTCCTCCTGCTCATCCCATTCTGTAAATCCATCCTCACTCCCTAACCCCTCATCATACACATATACATCATCCTCACTATCATCTCCAACTGTCTCAAAACCAACCTACAACACATATACATCCACATCTCATTGTAGTGGATCATTATAGAACCAAACAAGACAATATAACCAACAAAATTATCATGCATTCTGCCCATATTCGAAATCACACAACCCACAAAACCAAAATTTTAGAACAAATGCCATCACAAAATACATAAAAAAGGAAAAATCAACATTAATATACATCTACTCCATCAATTAAAACTACATTAGCCTACCATCAATTGCAAACAACAACAACAAAAACGATTACAATTGAAAAACAAACTAACCCCTACTCCAAATTCATTACCCACATTACAATATACACAATACTTACTTAGTTAAATACTACCCCTACCAATAACCCCCAGCATGATTACTCAATTTCAAAATACTCAATACAAACCCTAACCTCTCCTTACCCAAGCTTTACTTTTTAAATTTCACAATTGCATTCATTCATTACCCCATTCTCGCTAATAAACTAACAACAACGCTTTAGAATACATAACTTACCATCTCAAAGTCGAATCTCAGCTCCCTTGCGCAACCATGCCCATCTTCTCCATCTTCCCGAATGGCTTCCGCTAGATCGACACCCAAAATATCTTCTACCCTATTTCTCATTCTACTAATCCACTGCTGCACTTACGAATTCACAATTTGACAAAAAAAAATTTGGCTTGCTGAGCTACATTCTTCGTCTCCATTGATGAAGAGCTTCCATTTTTTTTTTTAATAAAATTAACTGACATGCAAGTCATTTTTACCTTAGTGAAAATGTTTTCCCGCTTCTTCTTTTCACTCCCCGTTACACTTCAGTTGTCCCGTTATACTAATGGCCCACTTGCATGATATAAAGTTACAGCTAATTGCAAAATTGTCATCCTATATGTTCCTTCACCCATAGGTGCTATGCGCCAAGACTTAACCGTTCGTAAGTACATATCTAGATTGCCTAATGTACAAAGTAAAGAAATCATGCTTTGATGTACTTCCTCTTTGAATTTTGTAACAATTTGATTGACAAACTTGCTAATGATAGTTAACAATTTTAAATTATAATTATAATTAGTATTTATTATAAAAAGTTGATATTATGAATATATATACTCCTATTGGATGCTTTGATTGGTATGGAAAGAAATTGACTCATTTTGTTCTTTTACATGTCTCGTATGTCTTTTTAAGGTGTACAATTTATCTACTCGTTTTCTATTTTAGAAAATTCACACTTTTGAATTAAGTTGTACACTAATTTATCCATTTTCCTCATAACTTATTCATTTACATAAAATCTTATGAAAGATCAAGAACATGAGGCAAGTAAATAGAGACGCATAGAGTAGCGATAGGATAGCTTGATTGGTCCACCTTGAAAAATAAAGGTGGGGGTTTAGTTGTATCTACATGACTACATAGTCATGGCTTGCTAGATTGTCTCACGTTCAGTTGCCGGCCAGCTAGCTGATCAAACAAAATCATGCTAGAACCAACTTTTGTCCTAGTGCAAGTCACTGTTTTAAAGTTGACACTTATTTGCATATAATAATAATAATTGTGGTTCCTAAATAATTTATATAGAGTGCTAAAAGCCTAAAATGGTAAAAGTTGCACTAGATTCTTGAAGAGTGGAAGGGTCAATTTATTTGGGATTTTGGTAGTGAGAATAATTTGGGAACTGGAATAGGGATTTAGAGTGTAAAATGTCGACTAGAAATCAACTAGTTTTATTGACAATTCTTTGTTTAATAACGGAGATAATATTGGTAATTAGGAGATGAAGATGTGAATTGATGTTTCCAAATTACAAATTGGAATGTCTTTAAATCCCTGGAGATATTCCAATGGTAAGGACTTAAAAATGTCGGTTTATCAATTAAAATTAAAGGTTGAAGGTTCGATTCTTATCTAATTTCTAATCTCTCTTTAAATTAGGTAATATCATAATACACTAGCAAATGAATGTTTGAGAAGGTTGTGAATGAATATAAGAGGCTTTTTAATCACTTGGTAATAATAAATTTATAATGAAATTTATGAAGAAAAAATATAGAATTGATCCATTCTTTTGACATAAAAGTAGTCAAAGGGGGAAATGGAGTCAAGTGAAACATGATCATGATAATGATAGTTTTAGGCTTTAGGGGACCATTTGGAAAGTCATGTGAACAATAAGCCTTAAGCGTGGTTTGTTCTTAATTGTCTCCTAAGCTCCAACACAAGACCCTCATATTACTACATACATAAATTACATACACATTATATTATGTCATTATGTGCACTTTTCCTTTGCAATTCTTCATTCCCTCTAGAAACTTTTAATCAATAATAGAGTATATGCAAAGTAGATGTCAAGATACTCATGCTTGTAAAGTTTACAAACAGCGACCTGTGATCACAAAAACGCTAACTCTAATCATGGTACGACAATTAATACCTATCCTTTATAGTACCTATATATATTTACGATGAATTTTCATCTAGATTAGAATTAATTTGATTCCCCTAGTTAGAGAAAATGTCTCTTCAAAGAAATTATTCTAGCCAAGAAAGCTATCTCTTCGTCTCTAAATGTTGTTCCTACTTTGACTTTCCTGTAATAACATTATATTTTGTTATAAAAAGATAACCGGATGCAGGATGCTTGTTCACATTCAAAAGTGTTGATGAATAGGAAGCTTAAATGGAGAGAAATAGAATTTAGAGCAAAAGGAATTGAACACATTGATAGTTCCTACAAAGCTGTACAATCATGACTAAGGTTTTCTTATCTTGGCTAATGTGGTAAATAACATGAAATGGTAAAATATAACCACATTTTTCTAAAATAACTACAATAAGGAATTTAAAGAAAGAGACTACAAAGAGATTTAACAAAGAAAAAAAAAAATTAGCTCTGAGTTGAAGGCTGTTTTATTAGAGGTTGAGAAGTTTTTCCTAATTCTTCAGGAGTTGTTTTCACCTCCATGAGCAAGGCTACTACTTCCTTCATGGTTGGCCTCTCTGACGGTGCCGAGTTCACACAAAACATGGCTATCCCAAGAGTCTGAAGCATCTCTTGCACCATTTGGTCTGGTAGTCCCTGCAGTTTCGCGTCTAATACTGATACTGCTGGTTCAAAGCTTCCCATTTTCTTCTTCACCCATTCAACTATATGTTGTCCATCTCCCATCAGCTGGTTTTCGATTGCATTGCGTCCGCTTAGGATTTCCAGCAGGACTACTCCATAACTGTATACATCGCTCTTTTCTGTTATGTTCATTGTGTAACCATACTCTGCAACATGTATACAGATTGTCAGACTTAACTGTTATAACATGCTAAAACTCAGTAGTAAAATTATGACAGTATTATGAATAATAATGTTGTAAATCTTTTCCTCAGTGTCTGCACCACTGAATCTGTGGCCTTAAATAACGACTTCAAATAATGTGACAACAAGGTTTGCTCCATCAATCGAAACATTGAAAATAAAACACATGTAACAGATAATTTTATAAGCAAGCATTATACAGTAACATAATTCTATGCATTTCCTGTTAAATAATTAGAGAATTATCAGTAATTTAAGATGAAAAAACTTGCCTGGAGCAATATATCCATAAGATCCAGCAACTTTGGAAATGGCATGATGATAAGTAGCAGAATGCATGAGCTTAGCCAACCCGAAATCAGCGAGGTAAGCTTCATGCTTTGCATCAAGAAATATGTTATTGCACTTGACATCTCTGTGGATGATCGAAGGCACGCAATCGTGATGAAGATAGGCAAGACCTTGAGCTGATCCAACAGCAATTTTGTACCTTGTTTCCCAGTCCAAGTTCCTGTTATTCTGTAACAACTGCTGCAAATTCCCATTTGGTACAAAATTGTAAAGCAGTAGCTTTATACTTCTATTTGAACAATAACCTAAGAGCTTTACAATGTTTCGATGTCGAATATGACCAAGAATCTGAATTTCTGCAGTGAAAGAATCAATTACTTCATCTTCTTTCTTTGTTTTCCACAATTTTTTGACAGCAATCAGCTCTCCTGAGGGCATGTCTGCCTTATAAACAACACCTGAACACCCTTTTCCAATGATGTTTTCGTCTTTCAAGCAGTCTAGTATGTTGTCGATTGTGAACCCGAACTTTTGGAAAGGAATGAAAGTCCAAGGATAGGAGAAATCATCAGAACCAGCAGCAGCAGCACAGTTTCCACCTGTTTTTTCGACTATGTACCTGCGGTTTCGCATAACAACTATCCATGAAATTGCAAGTGCAATTGTAACTGATGCAAGGATCACAAATATCAGAGCAACTGTCTTGGCAGATTTTAGCTCGGTTTTCCTGAAGAAGCTCGAAGAACATGTGGAGCCATCAAGGGATTGGCAGAGGTTATTGTTCTCAAAGAAGGAATTTGGACTTAAGATTTTGAAAAATGGGGTGACAGGAATTGGACCTGCAAAGTTGTTGCCGGAGATATTCAAGGAAGTGAGGCTTGTCAGTAAACCAAGAATAGCGAGTTTACCCGAAAGCATGTTGTGAGAAAGATCAAGAGACTGCAGTTGTGTCAAACTAGATATTGGCTCAGGAATTTCACCACTTAAAGAATTATGACTCAAGTCCAAGCTGATGGATAAGCTTGTCAAATAGCCGATTTCAGGTGGGATTGCTCCTGAGAAGTTATTGAAGCTCAAATCAAGTAGTGTAAGCTTCTGCAAGTTTCTGATGGATTTCGGAATTTGCCCTGATAACAAATTTTTGTTAAGGATGAGTTTATCCAGGTAGCTGAAATTCCCAAAACTCTGAGGAATTTGCCCTGTAAAGCTGTTTCGACTTAGATCAAGCTGCTCGAGATTTACTAGCTCTCCCAACTCTGCCGGGATCTCTCCTGTCAGATGATTATTGTGCAAATCAAGCAGCTCGAGCACAGTAATATTACCTATCTCATGAGGAATACCACCTGAAAAACGATTCATGTATAAGTCAAGAAATACAAGATTCTGCAACTGTCCTATCTCTTTCGGAATCTGTCCAGACAGCTGGTTTTCTCCAAGCCTCAATCTCACCAAAGACTGACAATTCGCAACACCTCGAGACAAGCCACCAGTCAATGAATTCCCAAGCAACATTAGCTTACTGAGCTTCTTTAGCCTGAAAATTTCCTCTGGAATCAAACCAGTGAGCTTATTCCTCGAAAGATCAAGCGTGTAAAGTTCACTGCAATTCCCAAACTCAGCAGGAATAGTCCCAGACACCGAGTTCCCCCACAGGAAGAAGCTCTGCAAGTACTTCAGATCACCTATCTGTGGAGGAATCGAGCCTGACAGTTGATTTTTATCCAACTGCAGAGTAGTCAGACTAGTACAGTTGCTCATCTCCGAGGGAATAGAACCTGTGAGTGCATTATCAGACAGATGAAGCTGCTGTAACAGTACTAGCTTCCCCAATTCACCAGGAATCTCCCCTGACAGATTGTTAGCCGATAAATCAAGCACAACCAACGCCGAACAGTTGGATATCTCAGCTGGTATACTGCCCGTCAGAGAATTTCCCCACAGAAGTAAGCTAGTCAGCTTCCTAAGCCTTCCCAACTGAGGAGGAATCGCACCCGTCATCTTATTCATATGCAAGTACAAATTCGTAAGCTGAGAACACGAACCGAGTTCAGGAGGAATCGACCCTGAAATTTCGGTGTCATACACTGCAAGTGTCTCTAACTTAACAAGATTCCCAAATGCAGAGGGCAAAAAACCTGATAAACCAGTAGCAGCAACCCCAAATGTAGTCAGATTACTAAGTAAACCCAACTGATGAGGAATCTCCCCTGTCAAATACGGGTTACCCCCAAGCCGAAACTGCTGAAGAGACACCAATGAACCCAACTGAGAAGGTATTGACCCATTTAAAAGATTATCTTGGAGAGAAAGTACTTCCAAAGAGGTAAGGTTTGAAAGCGAAGACGGTATTCTGCCAGAAAGCCTGTTAGCATTCAAGTACAGATATTGCAAATTAGAGAGTTTCCCAAGCTCTCTAGGAATCTCCCCTGAGAGGTTATTCTCAGATAAGTCGAGCAGACGGAGGTGACCGAATAGGCCGAAAGACGGTGGAATGAATCCTGATATGTTGGTAGTGGAAAGGTTCAGAAGTTGTAATGATGCAAGTGAAGAAAGTTGAGAAGGAAGAGATGAAAGATTAAGGAAAATATTTGGAAGTGAAAGAGAAATGACAGTTTGTTGGGGTGAACATGTAATGCCTTCCCATGAACATGGAGTTTCAGAGGAAGGATTCCATGTTGATAATACTGAAGATGATGATTTTGAAACAGGGTCTGCTGATGATAACAGAGAAAGTAATGTTTTTCCATCTGATGATAAACTTGAAACTGAGACTACCCAAATCATAGAAATCATCATAATATTATGGAATAATGTTGATAATAATGTCATATGTTTGGATGTCTTCATTTAATTGTTGTTCTTGTTTTTTTTTTTTTTTCTTTTTAAAAAAAAAAAATGGAATGAAATGGTGGGGGTTGGAATTAAAGGTTTTAAGTGGTGGTTGCGACGGCGGTGGTGGTGGTGACAATGATGGTCAATGGTTGTGATTAGATATGAAGGAGACAAAGTTTATCTCTTTCATGCTTAAATTTTACACAAATGTTGTGTAGTTGAGGTAAGTGCATGTGCAAATGCTACTTCTAACTAATACTTCACTCTACTTACCAATATCAAAACTAATAAAAAGGGGTCGAACTTACTTCTGCTGAACTTATTTTTTCTATACTTTACCGTGATACTGTTCATCAATTATTACAAGAAAAGACGAAGCAAAGGTTTCTTACCGGAAACAGTGCCGCCGGAGTTTGGTGTGGAGTTGTTGGATTCTTGAAGGGAGGAGAGAGAGAAAAAAAAAAAGGGAGTGTTTGGTAATAGAGAAGGTAGGGTGGCTAGGGAGTCACAAGGTTGTATGCTCAAGGCATAGTTTAAGAGTATACTACAGTATAGTTTTATTGGGAGCCAAAAATAAGGGAGAAAATGAGGAGGATATTGGATGGTTTGAATAAAAAAATGTTATTCAAGTGCCGTGATATCGGCGCCACAAGAGTGTTGCTTTTTTGGGTTTTTGTTTGTTCTTAATGACCCTTTATATTATTAGTAGTTAATAAACTGTAATTAATAGTTTAATTATTTTTGGTTTAGGAAAATTTGGGGAACAGGACAAAACTGCCCTTCTTGTCAGAGTGGAAGATACGCTTTTATCCACTCTTGCAAACTCGTCTTTATTACGGGGGGTTGCAAGATTTGGGTTGGGGTTTTTATGGTTGTTTTGGTACCAATTTGTCATACACTCATACTGTATTTTTTACATATGCTACTCTGTAGTCATCTTTATTTTCAATAAGAACAATGGATTTGAAGAAATTGAGTTTTATACATAGAAAATAAGTTAAGACTTGAAGTTTACAAAAAGTTATTCAAAGTTCAATTTAGGGTATGTTCTTATTGACTGAACTCAGATGAAATAAACTAAACTGAACTGAACTGAGCTGAACTGAATTGAAATGAATATTTTATAAGAAAAGGAAATTAAGAGCTAAACTGAACTGAAATAAATTTCAACGTAAGAGAACAGGCCTTTAGTTTGAATAAGGAGAATGATAATTGATTAAAAGGTAAACCAAATTTTTGTTTTATACTTTAGTTGTACGTTATGGTGTTATAAAGATGGCATTGGGACGAGTTGGTCCATTTCACCACATAAAGTTTAAATGAAAACAGCATAGAACGGGACAGTATTGTGTGTGCTAAGTTAGCCATGAATGCCTATAGGCTGCTAACGCACGACACAACAATGGAACATGAGCTTATCTCATGTTTGGGTTGCACTTTTGAAATTTTTAACAATGTAGATAGTAGATTAGGCTTAAAGTTATGTGGGTTCAACATGTCATGACGTTACACACAATCATCTTTTTGTTATAGTGGTTAGATGTCCAATTTAGACCCGATAACAATGGTAAAATAAGTAAATGTGTTTGAAAATACACAAAACCACCGCACTTAAAATTCACAATAATATTACCAATGAGCTAATCATTATTCAGAGGAATAAAAGACTTTTTACATTGTAAACCATACGTGTAGTAACCTTCAAAGAGATTATTTCATATATACTTTGGTTAGAACATTAAGATCAATTCTGTAAACTAATAAACAAACTGAACTACAATTCAACAATCTAAGTAATGCAACAAGGTTTGAGAATTGAGACTACAAAATGAATGCATAGAGATTCATTGGAACAAGAGAAGAGCATAATGTCTACATAGTAAGATTTAATTATCACTTACTGTATATATATCTATTATGGATTTACGGAGTAATATAATTTACGGATTACTTAATACAATATATAAATTTATATGATTTCAAATAATTATTAATTCGTATAAATATGGAGCATGTAATCTATTCCCTCCACACGAAATAGACAACAATAAAAACAACTTTTGTTACTATGCTATACAACACTTAGGGCCTGTTCCGATTGACTGAACTCAACTGAACTGAACTGAACTGAACTGAACTGAACTTATTAATTAGTGATTTTTAACTACGGATTAGTGATCTTTGATTATTTATTGATTATTTATTACTATACATATGTGTATATACAAATGTAAATATTAAAATATTTACGAAAATACACTATATAATTATAATTATAAAATGTATGAAAAATATATTATAAAATGTATGCAAAATATATTAAAAACTTGAAACCTCTAAACATTTTAAACACATATACTATTTATTATTATTATTATTATTATTTATTGATGATTATTATTATTATTTATTGATTATTATTATTAGTATTATTATTTCAATTATTATTGTTATTATTATTATTATTGTTGTTGTTGTTGTTGTTGTTGTTGTTGTTGTTGTTGTTGTTGTTAATAATAATAATAATAATAATAATAATAATAATAATAATAATAATATTATTATTATTATTATTATTATTGTTTTTGTTGATGTTGTCGTTGTAATAAGAGCTTAAAAGAATGAAATTTGGCTTTATATCATTAGCAATATCATTAGACATAAATTAAGAGCTGAGCTGAACTGAACTGAACTGAACCGAACTGAACTGAGCTGAACTGAACTGAATTTCAACGGAACAGAACAGACCCTTATTAGATTCGTGGGGGTAATCCTTGATTAACGAATTTCCAAATGAGTATACCAAATAAAATGGACAAAAAACAAATCGGGTACAATCAAGGTATTCAGGGTCCGGGTCATAGATAACACGAGGGTACCTTGGGAGTAAAAAGAGTGAAATTAATGACAAATACAAGACTTAAGAGGGCAACTTAGGAGAGTGTGAAAGGTAAACTTTAAAAGATTGGAGCAAGCAAGCCATTAATTGTCTTTTTCCTTCGTATGGGAGTAACATAATTCCAACCTTTTTTGTGACTATTAAATATCATTATTTTTTATTAAATTAATTATGTATATGTGTCAGAAAATTTTAATTTAGAAGGCGTGAAACTAGATAAAAGTCATAAAACCCTTGCTAAATCTTATGTGGCTTGTATAATTCATGGGTTAATTAAGCCCCTTGTGACCTTGTCGTTTAGTGGTAAATGTGATTGGACTCCGGAACTCATACTCCGTATTAGCTATGAATACCTAACTTTAATAGAAGTGTCAAAACTTGACCTGACTCGATCCAAAACTAATTTAAAAAAAAAAATATCCAATTTAGATTTCGACTTACATGGACATAATAATTTAACATAACTTAACTTTAAAAATTGATCCCGACCGAACGCGATCTCATCAGACTCAATTCAAACACTCAAACTGACACCTCTAATTCAATTCGGTGTGGTTAGTAAGAATTTATTTCATAATCTTTAGATTAAGGGTTCGATCATGACTACTTGCAATTATAATGCAGTTATAAATATTAGGGTCATCTTCTATTCTTTTTTAAATACCAACATTTCTTTCATCATATTTGCTAACATATAGATTCAACAAATAATAATAATATAAATTTGTACACAGAGAAATTACAATATAATACCACATAATTACTTTGTCCATGACTGTATTTTATCATAAGAATAAATCACAGAAATTGGTCAAATTATAGTTTGTGACTTGTGAGTGATATAAAAAGCCAAACCATTTTAATTAAAGAGTAGTGACGAAATATCTTATTGGAAAGATTTCCCTCAAAATTGCTTAGAAAAAATAAATAAATTTCCTATTTGTGCTGGTTTTAAAACTATTTCCCACTGTCAACGGATTAGTGGTAGCTTTGTTACTTTTTTTATATTTATAATTTTGGTTTAGGCGGCCCTATTCACTTCATCTTATTTTTGCTGAACTGAAATAATTTTTACTGAACTGAAATTATTTTTACTGAACTTAAATTATTTTTATTGAACTAAAATTAATTTTACTGAACTAAAATTATTTTTGCTGAACTTAAATTATTTTTCCTAACTTTTATTATATTTCTTCTTAAGGTTTAATGATTTTTACTGAACTGAAATTATTTTTACTGAAGTGAACTTATTTTTGCTAAAGTGAACTTATTTTTACTGAACAGAAATTAACTTTATTGAACTGAAATCATTTTTACTGAATATTATTTTTTATGGTGAGGTGAAGAGGGCCTTAATGAAGAACCGCTAATGGCAAATGGTGATAGCGGACTAGCGGTTCTATACAATAAAACAACTACGGAGTATCACTATTGGCGGTTCTTCACTGAACCTAAATTTAATAAAAATAACAAAGCTACCACTAGTCCTATGTGGATAATAGAGTAGGAATTATTTAGGTTCTTCACTGAACCTAAATTTAATAAAAATAACAAAGCTACCACTAGTCCTATGTGGATAATAGAGTAGGAATTATTTTGAAACCGACGTTAAAAAAAAAAATATATATATATATATATATATATATATATATATATATATATATATATATATATATATATATATATATATATATATATATATATATATATATATATATATATATATATATATATATATATATATATATATATATATATATATCTTTAAGCAATTTTGAAAGAAATCGTTCTATTTTACTCACCTAATTGAAGTAGCTTCATCACATTAACTAATTGCAGTAATGAAAGACTTTAGAATAGCATTGATGGTAAATTAAGCGGTAAAATGTAGAATTAACCCCGATTTCCACTGAGACAAACGTGGTAAAAAAAGCAAGGAAAAGAGAGGAAGAGGTAATTAAATTACCGAGGAGAAAGTGGTGGGTTGGTTTTGGGAGAAGAGCAAAGAGAAATTGAGTGAAAGAGTAACGTGAGGAGAGAGAATTTGGTAATTTAATTTAAGTATTATGATGGCACATTTTACGATTTGTGGAGCTGAGGTTTTATTTACTCAACTAATTAAGCTAAGGCTAACCCATTTTTGTTTTAGGTACTGTAGCTTTTGAGTTTTGACTCTTCATCTTGTAAGTTAGCCACTCCATACGTAAACAAGAAACACTCATTCAATTTTATTTTATTTTATTTTACGGAATACTTTTTCAAGATTTAAGGGGAAATATTAAGAATTACGTGACCAACTCGTAATTTTTTCACAAACTATCAATAAAAGTATAAACAATTGAATCTTTACTTACAAAAAAGGGAGAGGAGGGGGGCTCTAAATTATATACTCAGAAATATTTATAAAAAAATGTATTTAATGTGTATATAGTTATATCCGAGTTGTATACTTAGATAGTTGTATATACGAGTATTGGATTAGGGTAGATTTTAGGGATTAAATTTATTACCAAGGTGGATTGAGTTGTTTGTACTTAAATGAGTAATTACTTCCCATAACACATCATATTCTTAGAAATTTCCGAAGTATTGGAGCAGGCAGCATGAAGGTTTTTGTGCCACTAAAGGAATCTTATAGTAGGATACATTTGGTGCGCCTGTATTTTATTAGAAATTTAACTAGGTTAGAATACGTGCGATACACAGTTTATATAAAATTTAGATCATAATTATGCACCTTGTATAAAAAAAGGTACCCCCTCCGTCCCTAAATTACATTTCTCTTTCTAGCATTTATTCTCGCATAATAGAGAGAAAGAGAAATGTAATTTAGGAACGGAGGGAATACTAAAAAATTTTAGATTCTCGTTAAGATTATGATATAGTATCGGTTTAATGTC